ATGGACTTCTCCTCATTCTTTTGGAGCTGGGAGTGACTCTCTCGTTAACTCGATTCCTAGGTTACTTCGCGTCATTGGGTCCAAAGAGCGTACCCCTCATTGTTCAATGAATCGTTGATCATTCCGATCTTCAAGAAGCGATCGCACAACGACTGCGCAAACTACCGCTGGCTAAAATACGTTTCCATCATTACGAAAGTGTTAACTTCTGTGATACTTCTTTAATGGAGATGAATATCCGCGAACAGCAAATAGGATTCCGACCAGATGGCAGTTACATCGACCAAATATTCACTCTACATCAAGTCCTCAAGTCACGCCACAGGCATCATCGACCAGCAATCGCAGTGTTCGTTAACCTAAAAAGAGCCTTCGACTCAGTTGACCACGAATCCCTCATGAGTTTAGCGTTCGCCAAGGAATGCCGCAGAAGTATGTAAACTTATTGAGTTCACTTTACCTGCATTTTTTGGTAGCCTAAGGGTCTACAGTGGGCCAAGCAAATCGTGTGAAACCAGGAGCGCTGTTCATCAAGGGTGCTCTATTTTGCGATTCCTTTCCAATTTTGTCATGGACAAAATCCTGGAGAACGCACTTAGTGACCTCCAAAGTGTTGGTATGGAATGGGCAGCTGGGGGAAAGCTGTGCGACCTCGAGTACGCTGACGACATCGCTTGCCTGTTCAAATGTATGGAGGACGCACAAAACACACTTGACAGACTAGCAAGTTCTGCTGCCCCGTTCTGCTTGCATTGTGTACCTTCAAAGTGCAGTGATGCTAAAAGACTGAATTTCGTTCACCCCGGCTCTGATGCTTGACGGTTAACACTTACAGTGAAAAGTTTTTCCTACTTAGGTAGTGTAGTGACAAGTGATGACTGCATAGTTAAGGAAATAACCACCCGCATTCGAAAGCAAGACCAGCGATGGTGGAACTGAAACACCTTTGCTGCCGACGTGTTTTTCCTGGAACTGAAAGGTAATGTATACTACGACAGTGTGCGGTCAGTTCTTCACGGTTGCGAGACCATAAACTTGCTGTCTTTTGGCTGCCCATTTGGATGAATAATAGGAGAAGAACAAGAAAGTTGAAGTTACAGTCGAAGAGAAAATTGAGAACTTCAGTAAACTATGGCTGCAAAGAAATTGAGAAGATGCAAGAACGCCACTGTTCATTGTCCCTAACCATCGGGTACGATCTTCTCGAGGTCTCCAGCCAGGGAGCCTAACAGTACCTATGTGACCTAGTCCCCTGGTTAGGGTTTTCATACCCTCGTGCCCCGTGCATGGTTAATAGTTGTTCAAACTGAACTAACCATAAACTTGCGCGTGGAAGATATTCGTGGTCTAGAAGTCCTCGACTGTCGATGTTTAAGTAGTTTGGCGCGGGTTAGGTCGAACGAGCATATAAGCAACGGTGAGGTAAGCCGTCATGTATTTCTTAATGATTCGATGGGTAATTAGTTGTCCCATCGGATTCAGATTAGTCGGCTTCGCTGGTTAGGACACATATTACGCATATCCAACTATCGTCTACTGTACCGCGGCTTATTCGTGATTGCGCTCCAGGATGGAAGAAACCAATTTGAGATCAACAGATGACATGAGAACGAAGAAGGAAGAAATGCACAGTGCAGCGAGGAGGAATAGGTGTCTCCCGTCTTTCAGGTTGGAGCCCACAAGACTCCTTAACTAGATAGTTGGGGAAGGATGTGGCAACCAACCGTCAGCAGTGGCGTTCTAGTTGTCATTTCTTATCACGTCAGAATTCTTGAAAATATGTGTGTGCAGCTAGGTTGTGCACTTTGTGCCTTAACCATTAAGGTTCACTTTCTCCCCCCTCCAGCTAGGCTAAATCCCTATCCCTCTTGTAGGTTATCACTTAATTTATGTGCACTGTGAGCATGGCAGCGATCAGGGAAGTTCCCTTCACTGTATCTCGTTGTACAATGATGAGGATGATCATCAGTGTTTCGGTCTCATCAGGAAAGATGAATGTTCATGTTTGTATTACTTGTTTACTGCCTTGTTTTCCGATTAGCCGGGATTGAATTCCATGCTCGTTTTTACTGCGTATTTTGAGGTTAGATGTGCGGCTTGGATTATCTTCCTCGTGACAACCTCTTCTCAATATGCTTCCTCGTGGTTACGTGCAAATCACGTTTGTGCATTTTCAATATCATGGGGTGGTAGTTTGTGTTTAACAGAAGAACCACGACTGGTAGGATAAATAAAATTTTAGATTTTTGGCAGGAGAAACAGTAATTTAGCAGTGATGAGTTTGGCGCAACGGTTCTCTCCGAGGTATATAATTGGCCGTTTACATAAGTAAAATATTGCAAATTGTTTAGTCTACACGTGAGGTGTCTGTTGTTGCCCACTCCCTTCCGTTAACGTGCGGCCTCTTTCGAATTTGAATTCAGTCCTCTTCACTAAAACATCATAACTGTGCAGTCTAATAATCTTTATCTCGTAAACCAGGGTCGTATAGTGACATACAGTTCAACAAACTACCATGATCGCTGTCAAACCAAGAAGTGAGGGGTATCACTTTATAGTGATCAAACATAAATTCCTCATTTGGGCCTCTCTAAGGCATCGTGCTCTCGAAGAACTGTATTGAATGATGTTGGATCAAGGCTGTCGGTGGTTGATGTGACAAAGCAAGATAAAATTTTCGTGACACACTTGCTTTACCCCCGATCGAATGTCTTGCTTGTAGGTTTTCATCGACAGCTGAGCCAGCCTATCTAGTAGTTAAGATGGGATCGCAGCTGGCAGCAAAACGTGTCGGAACGATTGACTGAGTTCTGTATAAAATCGAAAACGTATGGGGTTCTCCGCATCAGGTTGGAAGATCGACTTGCCGTCATGATTAAACCCAGTCAGATTGTTACGTTTGTTCTTTTAGCTTGTTAACATCGTTTAACACGCACTTAGAAACCCACGGATCTATCGACTACCATCGTCGTGAACATCAGTTTTCTTGTATTCTTTTATTTCCTATCAACTGTGGTTCATCAAGCGTTGAACTAAGTTGTTCAACCTTTAGGAAGCAGCATATTTATCACGGGATATTTCTTCTAAACCACATCCTTCATGGGTGGTAGGTAGGCAGCCGTTTGTGAGGAATTTAGTGAATCTGCATCAGTCAATGAACATAGAGTTGTTTGAGAACTGATGTTTAATTGTGTTAGGGTTTAAGTATGCATATTCACAGTCTATGCCTTCAGCTGTTGCTTCCGATGTTATCGTATCAGTCAACAAACGGCTCTCGTTTTTGTCCGAACTAAATAAAGCCACTCTTCCAATTTGACATTGCCAACACATGCCTGCATTAAAACATCCTGCTTGGTTTTTCCGTCATCACACAGGTCAATCTTGGGCCTATTTGATTCGGTTGCACTTCAGACACTTTTGACCGGATCGGCCTCTCCTAGTGATCCTGTTAAGCATGCACTGGACAAAGGTGTGAGACAAGTGAGCAGAACTCTTTCTAATCAGTGCACTGTAACTGTCATTCATGGTTATTTTCTCATGATATCAAAAAAAACGCTAATCAATTTCATAACCAACTGCACTTGGCGGAACTGTAATCTGTATTGCAAATGAACTCTATGTCTTAATTTATTTAAATTCACATTGTTCTCAAAAATTTGGTTTTCATTTCCATCTTGATCGCAACTAGTCGCTTGAGCGGTGTTGACTGTAATTTTTGACGACTTTAAGGTCTAAACCCGATGTCTTTTGGATACGTTTGATACGCTAACTTTATCCAGTGAATAACGTATCACTGGTCTTTTATTCATCTGTGTTGCTCAGTTGTCAACGTTTTTCTCACTGAATTCTATCCTCAGCTACCAAGCACTGTCCACGTCGAAGAGCTTGGTCGTCGCCTCATGATTGAACCTGTCGTGATTGTAACCGACAAAACTGGTAAGTGAAATTGTGGCTCTACTGTTGATTTACTCTGGCAGCTCACCTAACGCGAACGTGTATGGCCTAGAAATATATATCCCTGTTTGTTTGGATAGTGAATAGCTAGATTAACATCTCTTTTCCGCAACTAAGACACGTGACGAACACAGTCGAAGTGAACATTTTCTTCTCATTCCTCAAGAGTTGACATCAGTACCGTTGTTGGATTGCCTTGCAGTGTGTGATAAGCCATCTCAATCACAGTGAGAATGACATTTGATGTGATAGCGTGCGTGCCTCCATGTTTCAACCGCGACTTCAGATCTTTGAGGAGAAGCAACCTGAAGCGTATTCTCATGCGACCAGTCTTAAGCTCATGTGCGAACTTTTTGTTTGCGAATCAACGCAAAGAGAAGCAATCGGAGGCTTTTGAGAGTGAGGATTCACCGATCGGAACACGTGGTCTTCGAACCGAAACGTTTGAGCTACTCGAGCAACACAGATGGTCGTAATGAAATCAGTGCTTTTAGAGGCTCTCCTTTGAATTCAATACAAATAGTTTACTGTTCTACGTTATTCTCTTTCATTCGTCGCAGATTCACATTAAAGTAATACACGTTTCCTGATGTAGTCCTGAAAGTGCACTTTAGTTGCCGTTAGAAACACTGAGTGTTGTAACTGCCTGTCGGACTGCGATGTCCAACACATTTCGTTGTCCACTGAGCTAGTGATTTTTAGTGATTTTTCTATTCCCTTTTCACCATATATAGAAGAGTTGCGGAAAATTCCCAAGTGTTGAAGTCCAAAGCTTGTAGTTTTAAGTGGAACCATGCTATCATATATTTTAGCATTCACTGAACATGATTATTGCTGGGGTATTAGAAGTTGGTCTGGAAGAGCCAATTTCACATGGATTCCGGTACACGTTTATGGATTTGATTCAGTTATCACTTCGTCATCCTTAATGATCTCACGATCTGTCGCTACTTTATCACAATAACATTATATAGCTGGGATTCTATTATGATCAGAATCGTTTTTCAACATGAATCTTATAGGTTATTGTTCAATTGATATATGAACTTCTCAGATTTCGCTCGTGCAGCGTCACACAAGAAAATGTTTTGGACCGTCTTATTAATTTGAGTTCAGTTCAGTTCATTTCGTACAACCATTAACCATGCACTATCGTCCGCCGGTTTTCGTTACTATCTTTCGGCTGCCCATTTGGAGGAGCATTAGGAGAAAGACAGGAAAGGTTGAAAGTAGGATCGACAAGAAAATTGAAAATTCGTGTTCAGACTTCATGATAGGGCAACTTGATTTTGTCCCTTATAGATTTTTAGCTCGGTTATACCAACCAAATCATCCGTCGGTGTGTAATAGCATGCGTAAACTTGTGTCCTTTGTGTTCTATAACGTCCGTTCCGGAAACACATATCGCCGCACACATCGCTATCCTGATAACAGATAAACATGTGACATCCAGGCTTCTTACACACACACACACACACACACACACACACAGAGAGAGAGAGAGAGAGATAGCATGACCTTTATCACAATTCTGTCATCTCGTGGGTTGTTCACTTCGCATACGTGTTATGCAACACTCGCACCTTATGGAACTGCAATTGTGAAATTTGTGCCGCGATTTAGGGTCGGTGGTTGTGGGGATTAAACTCTACTTTTGAAGATTCCGTAGGACGTCGATAAAAATAGCCATTTCACCTCTCAGAATCACAACCATTGCACTTTCACACTGTGGCCCTCACCGCGGTTCATTTGGACAAAGGACTTGAGGGAAGAAGTAAAAATCTCGAGGCAATACCAAGGATAGTGAAAATAATCCAACTCAATTTGCGAAAAATGAAGTGAATATACTAGCGTCGTTTTTTCTTACGCAAAAGTACACCTCTCCGTGCCTCGTAGCCATCGGTTCGTCCAATCCCGCGGTCCCTGAACCCGAGATCCTGATGCGACCCATGTGACGGAATCATTTAGTCCGTGTTTTTATACTCGCTTCCTAGGTTTTCGTTTTACTACCCTTGAGCAGAAACGCAGAAAAACTGCGACCCTGGTGAACACCGCTTTGCGTAGTGAACTCGAGTGAGGAGTAGCCGTAAGCCCGAACTGGGCTTTCGTCTTGGGTTTACGTATAACGGACTAGGAATAGCGAATTGTACTTTCCCGGTAAATCCAAATGGAAATAACATGAGTACAATGGCGTCCAATGAATATAAGATTTATATTTTATTTTACAGTCATCTGAATCCCTACTGTGTGCCCGTTGTGTCCCGTTTAAACAAAGAAATAGGTGCGTCGCAAATTATGCAGTTCTTCTATTTGCGATATATTAATGTACAAGTAGCTGGTCCGTAGGCCGGTGAGCAAGGAGGGCGTTAGCATGCAGGCTAACCCTGGCGCATGTCATTAAAGCGCGGGATGCCGTCAAGTCAGCCTGTCAACGAACCAAAAAGTGCGGACAGATCAATATTAACGCACGCATGACATGTGTTCCTAAGGCCACAACTGATGAAACTTCTTGAGGTTATCAGAATCAGCCAACCGGAGCCTAACACAAGGCAGGGCAATTCACTTTAATATTAGGAAAGTTAATAACGGCATGTTCGCCGTTCGCAATTTATGTGCGCGGTACATTCCAGTTTCATATCGTCCCCAGCCATATACCACAATCGAGAGCTCGCAACACCTCTGCATGTGATGTAGTACGTTGTCGGTCCAACCGGCCTGTGTCTCAACTCGCATTGACACAGCCACATCTTTCGTCATCATTTCCAAGGCAAAGGCGATGACCTAAGTGAAAACGCCTTTATCTGTGTTTACACCAATTTGTGTACCAGGCGAGCTGTAAACAAAATAAGCGTTTGTATTTCGGTCTCACCAATAGTGCCTCCAGAATGTTGATTCCGAGAGGAATGGCGTGATCTCTACTGACGCATCTGGCATTACTATCTGGAATAGAACTGTTTTTGTTTATCACTCGTTAGTCTGAATAAACATAAATACACGGCTCCTCCCTCTGGACCTCTTCAGGGCAGATACCGTTTGTTTACATTATCCTCGCGACGTATGTGTTGCGTATCATAATCAGGGTGAACCTTTTTTAGAAACTTGATTATCATTCCATGGACAGATTTGATTGTACGTAGCTGACTTGCATCTCTATGAGTCCTTTTGTTATCTAATTGCAATTTTGTTTGACAATTAATGGGTACTCGAAACAAGCTACCTGGTTCCAGTTGGGCTGAATCGATTTAGATCACCAAAGTCACACAGCTGTGACGGATGGTTCGCAATTTGAAGGTGTAAACTGCTACTACATAATTCCCGATGTCACAAACGGGTCGGCATTAAACAAAGCGTGCAAATTTTGTTGCTCAGACCTCTACATTTCGCCTAGTGAATGACACACGAATGAATTTCCCACAGGCATATAGAAGGCTCCGTTGGTTTTTAAAAGTTTGAGACACCCTTGGCGCCGACGTGATATAGTCGGTTGTCTGTGAAGCTTTTGGCATCTGTTGGGCCATGGAACAGCGAAGACTGTAGCGGGCGGGAGATGAACAGATTCTGTTCCAGCACCGGTGTTTATGTTGTTTCTCTTTAGATCACTGGACAAGAGACACCAGGGACAAGCACGAAGGTAATTCCGATCACACAGTGATGCAGTTGCTTGAAATCCATAGATTGCAGTGGTTGAAGCATGTCACCGAATAGGTTTCCTCAACGTGCGATGTTTGAAAAGGCAAGCAGTGTTTGGGGAAGTCGTTCCTTAGAGAATACTCGATGAGTATTACCACCGAAGCTGTATGCTATCGGGCGCATCTTCAGTTAGAGAGTTAATTTTTAATAGTTTGGCATCACTTCATTGAATGAATAATCGCAGACGATCAGTGGCGATACCGGAAGGCCACAAGTGTCCTTCGAAAGCAACGTGATGCGCCACCAAAAACGACATTATCATTGCTTTGTTACCCTATATTTAGCTCTTGGTTGTGCAAAGGTTAAAGAAATCCTGGAAGAAAACACCCATTAACACTGGGAATGACTCCGTACATCGGTTTGAAAATTCATCTTCACAGAGCTGATAACCTCATGCTAGGAAAAGTTGAGCAATATCCTCACTTGCTGCTAGCTCTCACATTGAAGAATTTCCCATTTCGATGTTCTTTTAATAGATGAAGTGATTAACGTGCATTTAAAACCATGATGGATGCGATTCAACGTTGGATATCATTTTCGACTTGTGCTAACCGTTTTCTGTTTTTTTGTTTGCTTCTTTGACAATAGATCATTGGTTGATCACTCAAGAGGATTTTCTCAAATGGGCAGTCACACAATGCATCTAACTCCTACTATCTGCTCATACAGTGTTTTTCCTTCCTTCCCCCGTACGCCTGTGCTCCAATATTCACGATCTTTCATGTTTGTTTTCACTGATTTTGCTACCTTCATTCCTCCCTTAAGTGAATCGCGCTCTGCAATGCAGATCCAGCATTTTTATTTTGTGTGACTCAGGTGCAATAAACCCGACGTACTTCTGATTCTGAAACCGAGTTATCACTCATTAAGAAGGGTTGCGGGCGTCACGACTCAACCTTGAAGACTGTTCACAATTACACTCCAGCCAGGTTGGTGCAGTATAAATGCGGAGTAGACAAAACATGTATTCCATCCAATGACCATTGCTGTGTTGATCACTTCCTCTCAGGTCCCTGGCACTGAATCTTATCTTCAAAGTAGCCCGTACACGTGTTGTGCCTAAGGAGTTTTAGAGGAACACGTCACCTCATGTAAGATTGATAGTCCATCGATCGTTTTCTGCTATGCAATGTATTTATATGAGTCTCGAGATAAAATTATTGCTGTTATGTTTGTAAAAAATTTAACTCAACTTTGAAGTTCACCACAATAAGGAAAGTATAGACTCTTTTCTGTTTGCATGGTAAATATTTTCGTTTTTTATGCTAGTCTTGGGAGGAGCCATTTGCTTTCATTACCTGTCCACTGTCTTCTATGCAGAACAAGAAGCACTTGCTCAGAAGACGCCTTAGAAACAGAATCAGCAGTTGCACGGAAGATGCCGGTAGCAAATTGCTACCCGGAAACGTTCGTTGGTCGTAACTGATCGGGAAAATACAGGTACCTGTAACTAGAGCTGAGAAATAGAGTACCCACCACACTTCGGTTCCAGTTGACGAAGTAGTTACACTAGGGTCCTGAGTGCCGCAGTTAATACGGCGTTTAGTGCTGCCGAACTCTGATGTGTATTCTTGACATCACCCGTCACCGGATATCAGAACGAAGTTCAGTTGCCTTGTGCCTCTTACGTACAGGTATTGACCAAACTCGTGCAACATCCTCATTTTCATCACATTTGTTCCTCTTAATGCTTTGTTTTTCTAGTCTCATTCACGGCATTAAATATGATATTGCCCCACATCAGACGCAACATATCTGATATAATACCCACTTATATCACTGCTTCTGTTAGCCATATGCCAGTAAAATGTACAATTTCGCGATTTTGACGACGGTTGCTGGCGCATCAGTTGTAAGATAACAAAGTCACAGTAAAGAATGTAACTTTAATTTAATTAATAAAACGACTCAGGTATTGTGCTTTCATCTCGTTCATGTTCCATTTGCCCTCCTTCAGTTTTGAGCATTCCAGGCAGTTGCTTTAGCATGGAATCCACCAAGTTGACTGCCAAACAGAATTTGCAAGTTTCATTTAATACACCGCACACCCTTACCACTGGCGACCAATGGCAAGGTAGATAACTTATCCCTGTTTCAGATAGAAGGAAATGTTTTCGATTAAATTAAAATCCCAGCTGCTGCACGGTAATAGAACGAACTTGACATTGAACTTGAACCCTCTAGAAACTGCATAAACGTGAAAAAAATATTTATTTAGGCCTAACCGTTTTCTGCCACCAACCTCAAGTGAGCTGATATACCAAACTTCTTGTGTGAAAAGTATGACTTCCACGAATGCATGTTTGGGGTGACAGTTATCAAAAACCTTATCAGTGCAAGAAATTTTGCGATGTCCATATTGGCGTATGCAGGAGACCAACAGCAATCCGCTCAATATTCACTTCTCTTCCAACTCGTTAGGCGGGATAGATATTTACTTCTTTTGACAGGCAAAAAGATATTCATTAGAAAACTAGCTCAGTAGATCAGCTTTCACATTATGCTGAATTACTCGTTGGCCAACAGTGAGATAAACCCATTGCTAAATGGGCGGGCGACGCGATTTGAATTTGTCGATAGAATCAATACATACTCTGCTTTGTTGGGCGTTCAATAACGGCTTTATGTTACGTGGTCTCAGCTGCATTTTAAATTGGACCACCATCTTTCAATCGAAAGTGTGGGGGGAAAAACAGCTAATCAGCCCGGACTATCCTCCAGAATGGTTTTGTGCAACTCTTCTCTGCTGCGATCAAATACAACCGTCATCTTACTTCGATATGGCTGGTTTCCTCCCTCTCGATTTATGTATTGATGGAGAAATTTCGTGGAATATGTTATAAATTGGACTTATGTTCAAATTGAAGCACTTCCACAAGACGCCAACTGAGTCATCAGGTTTATGTGCCTCTCGATTAAGTTACCCTTCGGCTTCAATTATATGCCAAAACCTTTTGGAAGTTTCATCCGGTTTGGGCATGGTGACACTCCAGGACGCTATTCGACGAGCCGCACACCTCAAGGTCAACTGTCGAAGATCAACTTGTATGTTTCTTGGGCTGTTTTCAGTTCTTCCAGTTTTGTAGATAATACGTGAGTTGTTTGTGACCAAATAATTTTTCAATTTACTTAAGCTAGAATATTTTCATTAATTTGCTTATTTACTGTGCACTGAATGAAAAGAGATAAGCAATTTACAATACATTTGCTGAACTTATTAAACAATCCCATGGGACAGGAATCATCCTTTAAAACGAATGAATTCATATGCTGCTTTGCCCAAAATATTTTCAAAATCAGAGCTGTAAGTTTTGAACTCCTACAATTTTTATCGCGACACTCAAGGTCACGCAAATTCAAACGGTGACAGAAAAGAACTAAGAACATAGATGTTGGAGATAAAGTCAGTAATACAGTTAACTCATAGCCATCTATATATAAGTATGATATTGCAAACTGAAATGGATTTCCAAAATGGAGCTGATTTTGCAGGAGTTTGGTCAATACCTGTAGATCGTCGGACAAGCAGCTATCTAAACGCATCACCATAAGGTTTATACGCGGAAAAAACGTAGTTATTCCCAGTGCGATTGTTGCACACCTGGGCATAGAGGATATTAAAGTGAACAACATCACGCATGTGCATGGAAAATCCAATCAATCACCAACGTTTATGTTACCCGTTCCGTCCGTCCATGCTAACGGCGCTCAATCTGGAAGTTGGGCATGCATGATATGTGTCAAAGTTTAGATATATAAGCGATATCATTGCAGTTAAAGCTTGGGATACCTAATATATGTTTTGAACCTCATCATTTGCTAACATGTTGACACCAGATCTGGATAGTGCCTCAAAGACAATGATGATGAAATAATGAAAACTGTGGACCTAGATTGGTGGTCAACTTTGGACGCTGCGCACAGAAAGCGTGTTGTCATTGTACCGCTCAACTCAAACCACCACCAGCTGATTGAATTTAGTCCATTTATGTTCTTGAATGTCAGTCAGTTCATTTAGCTTGACGGCAACGAACGGAGACATTACAGTTTGTTAGATTCAATGGGAAACCTTTCACCGAACCGAGCCTAACATGCCCGTTTGAAGAAACAAACGCAATAGAACCTGTTGAGCTAGATTTCATATCACAGTGCCAATACGACGAGACTGCACATTGACGTGGTGTGATGGCCTGTGCACCTCTCTGACCCAACGAGCTATACGGGATCGCTTTTGTCAAGCCGCAGATTTAATCATGCCTAAAAGGTCAATGGGTACAGGTCGGACGAAGTTTAGTCTCTGGGTCCTCCAGGCTGGATTTGGCGTCTAAGTCGGTAAAATAGTAGAGGAGTAATTGATCCAATTAAATGGGACCCTACTTCGCTTTACCCGCTGCCTGCGGTCAGGTTCTTGTCAGAACCAAAGGCTTTGAACGAGAACCCCAATCGTTCTCCTGCTTAGTGATTGGACACCCTGGCACTATCCGTCCATGAAACCCAACCAAAAAATTCCATACTGCATCGGTCGTCGCGCAGGATAATCAGGACCACGCTGACCATTGCATTGAGCGGGGTGGGTAGTGATAAGTGGGCTACTGCTCAGATATCCCAACCTTTGTTTAACTCTTTGTCTTCCGTATCCAACCTTCTAGCTTTACCCTTCCTTCCAACCCGTGATATTCCCTCAGACAACTGTTCGTCACTCGCCAAAGTTCGTTGCCAAGTCGCTCGGTAGGTAGTTTACCACAAAATAGATTGCATATTCTGAAGCCTCGTCAATCACTGAATCTGAGGGCCTTCAACGTGAGTACTCG